AGGGCGCGCGCTGGCGATAGCTTTCCAGTCGTCAAACAAGCGCATTTTAGCCTCCAGGCAGTCCCACTTTGTACTCGTGCCGACAGTGGAGCGCGTATGATGGAAAGTTGGGCGTGGGAGTGTGCGGCGGGGCCTGCTGGTTCCTTCCAGCTGGCTATCTCGACTTCCGCTCTACGCCTGTCCATCCTCTTTCTCTGCTTGTACACACCCCCCGCCCACCATTTCCGCCCTGACAGTGGTTTCAAGCGGGGTGGCACGTCACACCCATCAGAAATTATGGCGTCAGCGTTTTTCCGTTTCAACATGGACGCTTCGATGTTGGCGCTGCGGGTACAAAGGCAGGGATGGGACGCGACCACATCGACTGCGGACGGGCGAATCGTCGTTCTCGCCAGCTCCGCGCACCACGCGTGCTGAAATGTGCCCTCCCTTTCCTGGGCGCGATGCGCAGTCTCGCTCGCCACTTCTCTCCGGCAGTGGGGGCCGCGCGCGCGTAGGCGAGATGTTGCTATCCCAGCAGCGAAAGAAGGACGTACACGTACATGAGTCCGCGCTGGTTTCGAGAGCTCGCACAGCGCAGATGTTGGTATAGCGCGGCCAGTCTCGCGGATCGAGGGGCCGTGCTCATGTACATAGCTGGGCGCGTACGTCCTCCTCCTCCTCCTCCTCCTCCTCCTCCTCCTCCTCCTCCTCCTCCTCCTCCCCCTCCTCCTCCTCCTCCTCCTCCTCCTCCTCCTCCTCCTCCTCCTCCTCCTCCTTTGTGGGCTCCCTACTCTCCTCGGAGCTCCGTGCCGGCCTCGCTTGAAAGTGGCCCTCTCCCGCGTGGGCGCGGGCGCATGCATATGCCGCTCGGTCGGTCGTCGGAGGCGGGGCCGTGCCCGAGGGAGGGCTCCTCCATCCTCTTCCCCATCCTCGTCCTCCTCGGACATCGTCGTTCTCGCGTCGGGCCCTTTGCTTCGACCCTTCTGCCCTCCCTCCTAAACCACGCGGTTCGCCCCGCGTTCTTCCTTTGCCGCGGCGTTCATTCCCAGCCCATTGCCCCTGCCGGTTACGGAAGCGTCGCTCTCGCTCCAGCGCTGCGCAGATTCAGGAGGGCAAGAAACACACAGGCACAATGCATCTTCGATGTCCCGGAAAAGATGGGAAATTATGGGAAGGGGGGAGAGAGACAAAAACTTAGAAAATATAGGAACACATGGGAGATCCTGTTGTTGTTTGTGTGCATTTATTTGTGTGTCCTTGGGCCCCATTGACAGATGTCGTTTTGGAGGATTTGGCTCTCGCGTGGCGAAGCCGCCGGGCTTCGCCCTCTCCTTCGCGGGCTCGGCTCGAGCTGCCGAGGCTCGAGTCTAGACTCAAGAGGGAAAGAAACACACAGACACAATTAATCGTCGATTCCCCAGAAAATATGGGAAAATATGGGAAGTGGGGGGGAAGACAGAAGCCCAGAAAATATGGGAAAATATGGGGAATCTTGTTATCTTTTTATATGTGTCCTGGGGCCCCTTCATAGACGTCGTCCGACATGCTCCAGGGACAGGCTCATGATGTTCCAACCTGCTTTAGCCTTGATCGCCAGAATCACCACCCACCAAACCACCCCAACCCAACCCGAAGGCCCAAATTTATCCTCGATTTCCAGAGGGGGGGGAGGGTCGGGGAACATTGAAAAAACACATGGAATCCGTACCCCCCCAACCCGAAATTCGAGTCAAATTCGGGTCTTCGGGTTGGGTTGGGGTGGTCTGGTAGGTAGTCACAGAAAGAATCTCGAGCGCCAGAGCAGTACCCCAAAACTCCAGGGTTTTCACGCGTCGGGCCCTGGGAGACGCCGTTTCGACCCTGTTTCGACGCTGTGTCGACGCTCGTTCGACACCTTTTCCGGGTGCTCGACATTCTTTCTGGGATGTGGTCCTTAAGTACGAAGGGAGCAACATACAGTCGGGGCACTGCAGAAGGAACCCGTCTCGTTGGGGAGGGGCTCGGTGTCCCTTGATTGTTTCAAATGTTGCCTCGGGTTTTCCTGAGGTTTCCCATGGGGAATCGAGGTTGAGCTTATGGGAAAAAGGGGCCCCGTTGTAGGTCAACGCCGCGGCTGAACGCCGCGGCTGTAGGGCCAGGCGCAGCAAACACGTGCGCAGCTGGTCGCACAGCCGCAGCCCCGCCCGGGCGCTCGGCCCTTCGTTTCCCCCCCCCCGCCGAGCCGCGGGGTCAGCGCGGCCCCGCGCGCCGGCCGGCTCGGGCGCCTGCCGCCCGCCCTGGGGGGCTGACTTACAGCTGCCAGACTTAAGTCGGGCACGTCCCTCTACAGGAGGAATGTTCTCGGGAGAGGAAAAAGGAACACACAGACATCATGACGCCTCGCTTCCCCCGAAACCAGGGGAACCTATGGGAAGTGGGGGGGAAGACAGAAGCCCAGAACATATGGGAAACTGTGGGGAATAGTTTTATTCGTGTGTGTATTTCTTTGTGTGTCCTGGGGCCCCTTCATATTCAAGAATGCAAGAAAGACTGGTGACAATTTTGTTTGTGCACTTCTGCGTGTTATTGGATTATGTGTTGTTCTTCCCACAAAACCCGTCTGTCGGAGGACATGGGCGACCTTATGCTAGACATGCGACGTCTTAACATTTTCAGCACGCAGTCCCCCAGAAGTCCCGACCCTCACAGGAGGAACAGGTACCGATGCCGCTACCGTTCCATGTGTTTCCGCCCTGTCTGGGTTGCCTCGGAGGCCCTCGTCGCCACAGCTGGATTCGCCTCGAAGTTCCTGTGCTCAGCTGCGTTCTTGCACTTATGAGCAGCGCGGGCCCGACGAAAGCCTGAGAGGTCCCTTCCAATGTGCGAGGCCGCCCGCGCGCTCCTCGTGGCGAAGGTTATCGACGCCTGAGGCCTCCTCCCGCTTTCCTCCTCCGCGGCCGCCCCTTTTTCTTCTTCTTCTTCTTCTTATTATTGTTATTCTTCTTATTATTATTATTCTTGTTCTTACTTGTATTATTAGTAGTAGTATTAGTATTGTTATTCTTATTATGTTTTATTCTTATTCTTATTCTTATTCGGATTATTATCGTTTTTTTTTTTGTCGTGTGCGTGTGTGCCCGTAGCCCTGGCGCGGCCCGCTGCCTACCCAGGCGCGCTGTTCGCTCGCCCCTGCGCTGCACGGGACTCGGCGCCGCTCGGGCGCGTGCCTTTTCCTCGGCCTGGCCGGGGCAAAAGAAACACACACACACACACAGTGGGACAAAAAACACACGTGTGTGTTTTTTCGCGTGTGTGTTTTTTTCGCGTGTGTTTTTTTTTCGCGTGTGTGTTTTTCGTGTGTGTGTTTTTCCCAAGGACTGTGTGTATTGTCCCACAGACTGTGTGTGTGTGTTTTTCCCACCGTGTGTTTTTTTTCCCACAGTGTGTGTGTGTGTGTGTGTGTGTGTTTTGAACATCTGGACCGTCCCGGAGCCGCCTGGACCATCTTCGGGAAAAGAGCCTGGCGCTGCTCGGGCGTGTGCATTTTTTCCCTCGGCGAGGACCAGCGAGGAGCATCCTCGATCCTTTGGCGAGGAAGCCACGCGCGAAACAGACAGAAAAAACACCCGGAATGGACGTCCGAGCGATGGCCAGGAGAAGAGAGACGCGCATGGCCAGCGAGCAGCGCACGGGGCAGGGCCGCCCGAGCGACGGCAAGGGGAGGCGGCAGTGGCCAGGGGAGAAACACACACACACACAGACGCGAGGAGTCGTCGACTCCCAGGGGAAGTTAGGAAAACCTGGGAAGTGGGGGGGGAAACCAAACAAAGCACACACTGTGGGGAAACACACGCACACACACAAAAACACACAGTGGGGAAAAAACGCACCGTGGGTAAAAAACACGTGGGGAATAACACAGTGGGGAAAAAGCGCACACAGTGTGTGTTTTTTTTTAACACATACACAGTGTGTGTGTGTGTGTGTTTTCCCCCACTGTGTGTGTTTTTCCCCACAGTGTGTGTTTTTTGTCCCCAAAGCGTGTGTTTTTTCCCCCACAGAGAACCCAGACAAGATGGGAACACACGGTGAATCCTGGGACTTGTGCCTACGTATTCGTGCTATCTGGGCAAGGGGGAGGCGGCAGTGGGGCGGGGCCCGCTGACTCGCTCGGGCCGGCCTGCTCGACCACCGCGCCTGCTCCCGCGCCCGCTTGTCGAGCCGATCGGTCAGGGTTGGATGTCGATCTCGGCTGGCCCGAGTCGATGCGGCTCCCATGCTCCGACGATGCGGTGCGGTCCGACGTTTGCTTGGCGCTGCGTCGAGCAGTGGCGAAGCGTCTAGGCTTTGTCTACAGGCCCACCAAAGAGACTGTTCTGAGAAGCCTTTCTGGTCTGCACGACATGCTTTTGTTTTAGTGCACCAGTTTTCAGTACAAACATCTTTGGATTCTAAGAGCATGTCGTGGTAGGCTTATAGGAATGCCAGGACGGTCGGTCCCTGCTCAAGGTGCGGCATGTCCGAGTCGCGGGTCGATCCACCACCACCGCCTGGGGGATCGAGCTTCTGGGACCTCGGCAGGCGATGATTCCATTCGGCCCCCCTGGGGCGAGGATGGGTCCATCTCCGCTTCCCGCTGGGTCCCCAGCCCGATCCGACGCACATTCCGATTGGAGGCGGCCCGGGGTTTTGAACTGGCTGGAGTCCCAGAAAATCGGACAGGAGGGGGTGGGGATGAGGCCAACTCCCTTCAAAATCGGTCCCCAGATCCCTCCTGGGGTCCCGGTGATGCTGCAGTTTTCGACCCCGCATCCTTTTTTAACGGACGCCGGGCCCGAAAACGGCTCCAGAGGCCGAAAAAGGCAAAACACAATTTCGAACCGAGAACACTGAGCCTCGCCCCCCCCTTTCTGCTCGAAGGATGCAGCGCTGGGCTGCCTTAGACTTCAGCCAGATCCAGCATTCCGTCCCGATCCGGTCTCGCGATTCGATGCTGACTCATCCTGCCTGCCGCGCGCGGCGGCGGCGGCGACGACCAGGGTGACCACGCCAAGCTCACGGACTTCGGGCTGGCGCGGCGTATAGACCCCCTGCCCGTGAGCCCCTGCACGCCGATGACTCGGGCTCAGCGTCGGCCGATCGCGCG